ACTTGACCTAAGAATATTTAAGTTGTTTTTAGCTTCATTTTTAATAAATAAAATCATTAGTAGTCAGTATACAACTATCTCTATTGACCATCGTCTGTTACGAACCCGAGTCCAGCGTCGTAGCACGGAGCAGTGACGACAACGCCATCTGTGAGTCCGCTCCCGAAACCCCCTCCAAATGGACGACGCCATCTAGTGAGGACGGGATATACCGGCCACAGGGGCTGGATTCCCGTCTTAGTCAACTCGTAACATAGCCGCTGCTGACCTCTGGTGAGGTGGCGCTTAGACAGCAACGCCATCTATGGAGCAGAGAGGTGGACGTTTGTGTCTAAGCCTGTAAGTGAGGTTCCCTAGTCCCAGTATTAATGCCGTGTCTGATTACAGAGTCGACCTGGGACTGCTGTATTGGACGATGGATCAGTCTACCCAAGGCAGCCAAGGTCTCTTCACGAGTTTGCTTTGAAGAAGCTCTGAATCACCCCTGGCCGAACTCTGCTGAGAGTGTTAGCCTGCCTGTGACGTGGCAGTATCAGGAATCGCCTTATCCGGGGCTGGCTGGTGGAAGAGACTAGCCACTGTGGTGTTTAGAGAGAAGAGTGATCAGCGGGATCACACGAGGCTCCTGCCTAGGGCTCGCAACCCTAGTATCGGTCGTGGAGTGGCCTACACAGCGGAGCTGATCGGAACCTGCCAGCTACAGGCTGGATTGTGGTTGAAGGCCTCCACGACTGAGTACCCAGTGGGACTGTGATTTGGCTGGCCTGTGGCCAGGGTAGATTCGCCGAGAGAATCAAAGAGGATTCATCGTGGGCCGAAGAAGGAACCAGGGCTACTCAAAGTGCGCACCGTGGAGCATCCTGTGTCTTCAGAGGAAGACAACTCTGTATATTTTCGTGTAGTTATAAACCCCGTGTGATTGTTATTTATTTATATGGTGGTGGTGAAATAATATACATAAATCAGAACATTTGTATCCCTCCCCCTTTAAGTTAACTTGCGTTACGGAACACATCCCTTGAAAGCCTCTACTAACTTGGGGCCGGATTCCCAAATTCTAATAAAACCAGAAAAGAACTCGGTTACGCCCTAGTAGGGCCGTAATAGGTACTTTCTAAACAGGAGGATGAGTTGGTATATCAGACAGAAAATAGGTCTGAGTACAGAACCCTGCGGGACTCCACTGGTGACATCATGCCAGTCTGAGATCTTACCCCTAACAGTAACTCTTTGATTCCTGTGGTTTAGGTACTCTCCTATCCATCAGAACACCATACCGCTTACTCCAGCTTGTTTCTCCAAGCTATGCAATAGCCTCTTATGGGGTACTGTGTCAAAAACTTTATAACAATTCGAGAAAATGCAGTCTTCCCATCTTTCTCTTTCTTGCTTAATGCTAGTTGCTTGGTCGTAGGCATGGTGGAAAGTCCTTACATAATATATTATGTGACACATCCCTATGACTGAAAATATATGTAGCAATGTTTTATTTCATTTATTTGTATTTATTTATATATAAAAGAGTTCTTACATTCTTGTACAACCACTACCACGCAGAGCGTTTTGGGCAAGTCCTTAATCCTAATTTTGCTCGGAATACGACCCGTTAAATCGTTTAACAACCAGGTACCCATTCACTGCTGGGTGAACAGAGGCTTCAGTTAAGAATGGGCGCCTAGTAAATCCTCTCCAGCCAAAATATGAACAGAGGTCAAAGCGTTCACGAAATACCAGGTGCGGGTGTTTTTATTCGCCATGGGGATTGCAAATCCCAGAATGCAAGAATGTTACATTCTCTGAGTATCAGAACACGAAAATAACTTTCAAGAGACTTCACCTCAACAGCTGGCATGATACTCAACCACCTCGGTATTGCAGTGACTCTGTCTTGTTGCCCCACTAATATTAAATACAAGTGTATATGTGGCAAGTGTTTTGTCATCCAGTATAGTAAGCATTCTCTCTCTACCAGCTACACCAGTTCCTTGGATTGGTATGCAAGACACACTGAGTGCAACATATCAAAATGATACTTTTTTATTTTTACATGCAAGCATGCAAGTATAAGGCAATAAAAAAAATAAAAAGAACAGAAGAAACAAAATAATCAAAACAAAAAACCACCGGCCAGAAGGACCGACAGCACAGTACAAAAACAACAAACATCAACAAAACACAAGAGAAAATAGCATAAACAAACTAGCAATACAGAAAAAACAATAACATATAAAACAAAACAAACGTCATAACACATAGGGAAAGCATAAGGAGAACAAAAAACAAAAAACAAAAATATAAAATTACAAAATATACAACAAGCCAAGAAATAGAAACAAAAGCCACACGTGGCGCAATAACAACACAAACAATAAACAAGAACATGCACAACTAACCACAGGCAGTGCAAGAAATAAAAGGAGAGGCGCAAGCACAGAACACAAGAGGGCAAACATCATAGCCAGAAGGGCACATAACACAACAGAATCATAACAGGAACAGATAATCAGTAAGTGGTATATCTACACGCAAAGCACGTTAAAAAATATAAAACACAAGAAACAGGGACATGAGAAAACTAAACAGAACAACGGCCTGAAGGGCGCACAATAAATAAAACACATAGCAGAACATACCACAGGTCTCATGCATACACTAAACACACAGCAATCACACAAACTACTCCAATTGCTCATACTTCTCCGACCACTCCGCCGCCGGGAAACGAATACAATACGCCTCCCAAAGCAACATGATGTTGTCCGGAACAGGGTGAGCATGGGCCGTACGAGGATCAGGCATCAAGTCCGGCACACCCACAACAAAACACCGAGCCTGCAGAACCCAGATGGTTGAGGGGCACCACGGAACAGGCTGCACGCGGTCAACAAAGTAAAACGACAAAGGGTTTGGCTTCCTATCATACGCCACGCCGGAGGCCAAGACGATTGGGAGGTGCTTTCCCCCATGGGGCCGGGCGACGGGCAGCGCACATCTAGCCTCCTTGGCAGCCCCACAGGGCCCCACGGCAACCACCGGACGTGTCACCTGCAGGGACCCCCCACGCCGAGCATCCTTCTTTAGCAACAACACGAGGTCGCGGCCCGCACCAGGACACACATCCGAAGGAGCGACCACCCCCCACTGCGGAGAACCTTCTGCAGAAGAAAGAACAGGAGGTAAATCAGAAGCACAATCGGTGTCACCAGCAGGCACATGGACGTCATCAACCACCACTGACGTAGAGCGCGAAGCACCCGAATCCACCACATCATCGCCTGAAGAACCACCGGTGTCGGAAACCTCCACATCAGCCCAAGCAGTAGAAGAACGCCGGGACCACTTGGGCACCTGGCGCACGTCCTCAGAGCCGGAGGCGGACCCAGAACCACGGGCTTCACAAGCCGTGCGAACCGATACCCGTCACAACACGGCAGCAGCCTCAACCGTAGGGCGAACCGGGCCGCACACAACAGGACGCTCCGCAGACCCCCCAGCACCCAGCTCAGCCGAGACACCCGGCGAGGGCGCAGGGCCAGCCGCAGAAGACGAGGAAGACGAAGACGTTGATGACGTGCAGAGACCATCTGGAAGACTCACGGGAGCAGCTGGGACAGCTACAGGGGGCAGGAAGATCTGCCGACGACACCAGAACACCCGGAGGAGGGGCCGCACCATCTGGAGGACCGTCGGGCAACGCAGGGGAACCTGTAGCAGCCAATGGGACGTCCACATCCTCACCCACGGAATCCACCTCAACAGGGAGCGGCGGGAAATCCTCCTCCCTGAACAAGTTGACAGGAGTAGCAGGGGCCTCAGAGCACCCGGCAGCGTGATGCCCCAGCTGGCCACACCGGAAACAAGTACGAGGCTGCCGGGCATAATACACCCAGACGTAGTAACCCAGCAGCCGGACAGAAGACGGGATATCCAACCGCAGGCGCATACTTAAGGTACGGATATTCGTCCACCGCCCAGCATATCTCCCCGAGGAAAGCGTGTTCATCCGCACACTGACAACTGCACCATACCTCCCGAAGTAGCGCCGGAGGAGGTCTTCAGGGAACTCCAGGGGCGCACCGTGGACACTGACATAAATCAGGGCACCACTGCGGTCCGAGATCGCCACAGAGCCGGCAGCATCTGGCAACGGCAACGTACGCCCCTCGTACCGACGAAGGAAGTCCCGGTATTCCTCCTCCCTCACGAACTTGACAACCACCCGGTGGGCAGTAACAAGCTCAATACCGTAGATAGCCTCCACCGGGATACGAAGCATGTCACACATCACCAATTCAATGGTCGGATATCCAGCCTTACACGTGAATTCCAACCCCACGGAATTCACACGCACAATAGGAGGAAGATGGCCCCCCCCATGTCAGAAATGCCACGTCAACACTCAGCCAGGTAGGCAACAAGACTGGGTGGGCAGAGACGCCCACACCACCTGTCGACAAAATGGCAAACGACCCCAACAGCCACGGAGGGTCGGTAAACGTCCACACTCCACGGCTGCCAGCAGTCCTCAAAATGATTCTTGTCACACCCCAAGTCCCAGACGTCCTAGAAAATGTTTTTTTAGGAATCCTCTTCCAGATAATCCGTCTTGCCCTCAAAAGGATCTCATTATATTCGTGTTTATCTTACTGCTCTAATAGATTTCCTTGAAAGTGGAGGCTCCAACACCTACAAATACACTGAACTGGATATAAATATCTGCCAATGTTGTCTGGTACTAACTGATGTTTAACAGGAAGTGCCAGACTATCTGTTTAACACCAGTACAAGGATTAAAGGTTAGCTTTTTAACTACCATCAAATCATCACATATGGATTTTCAATCGGGTAGAAACTTAACTGTAGCCAGACGTCTTCTAAAGATTTAATTAAAATGATTCATACCAAGAAATGCTTCCCTCATATTTATAACCAATAAGCCCATGGTGGGTGTATTGGCCTGCGATGCCTTGTTGTAAACACACCTGTCATCGGTGGATATAATGAGAGCAAGACAAAGACAAAAACCAAGAGCTAATACAAGTTCTCAACATGAAAAGTTTCCATTAATAGCAGGAAGGATTTATTTTCATTTGCCATTGTCTAGTACTGTTGAGGCATTATCCTTCACTACTGAGGCATCATCTTCAACTACTGAGGTATTATCCTCAACTACTGAGGCATTATCCTCAACTACTGAGGTATTATCCTCCAATGAAAGTAAATCTACTCACTGGTTCGTTCGATGAATTTTGGGTCGTTAATATCAATGAACTTCTTAGTGCTTTGCCAGGCTCTCTAACGCTAATTCAATTCCATTGATACACGGGGAAATGAATGCTGGCAATATCTGCAATGTCTTGCAGACATGCAACCGAGTCTAACTCTGACCATTAAGGGTCAGTGATGCTGTTTGTCTCTTTTAGGACCACACATCCTTCACAGTCAGAATGATCAGGAAACTCCAGAAGAAACTCTACGTTCCTTCTTTAAAGCCTAAACGGTCGTTCCAGCGATATCTCCTACACCTGTGAGAGAGTATTGTTAAGTGTCGAGGACCTCTGTTGTTTAGTGAGTGTTCTTGGATCATGACTACGACACCTCGAGTTTCATTTAATTTATTTTACAGTTATTACAATATGTCTAATTGAAGTATATTATAATTTCGTGGTGCAGGTGTGGGAGGTGATCCCTCCAATATTTTCCATATCTAGTTTATAAATTATCTCTCTCGTGTCTGTTTCAATGAGTTCAATTTTGAATGATTTTAGGCAGTAGGTTAAGTATTTCACTTATTGTATTCATGCAGCAAAAGTTCTCTGTTTGTTTTCGAACTGCTACCTCGCCTTCCTTAAAGGGATGTGAATATCGAGCATTATTTCATATGAGACACAAGGACTGATATATGGAGTACTAACAGTAGCGGCCTTCATTGTTTCCATGTTCTCAGTATCCACTCTTTCATATTCTTTGGCCGTTGCCCTGTTTGTAGTGGTGTGCTCTTTATATCATAGCTCTTCTCAATTCATTATTCTAAAATCCTTGATTTATTCATTTTTTCTATCAGGAGATATGAAAAATTATGTACCTGGTTCTCATTTTATGATTTCAGTGTTTGCATTCAGAATTAATTGGAATTTATCACAGTTGATAGTTATATTTGTTGCTCGGTGGAAAACCTTGTTGTCATCTGATACAATTTTGCGCTGTGTCCTCTTTTATTGAATTTATTTATGGAAAAGATGATAAGAAACTTGATCCTCATCATTGTGGGACCCAGCTTATATTATTATGGCTCCAGGTTGTCTAATTTACCATCAATTTTTGCAATCTCTATGTTAGAATATTTAAAACCCACGTCTCTTCCCTATTTGTTATTCCCCCTACCTTGAATTTTATGGGCTATTACTCCATTGTTGCATTTATCAAATAGTTTGGAAACATCTGTGTATAATCCATCTTCATTTCTTCTTCAATGTTTTCTTTTTACTTTCTCAAAACCTTAATGATGTAGGATGCTAGTAAAGCAGGTAACATTTTTTTATCCAATACTTTACTTCTCCTAGTGCAGTGAAGCGTTTATATATAAATCTTATATATAAGCGCTTTAAGATTTATGTATAAATCTATATAAACAACAAAATCCATGACCTGGACCGGAAACAAGTCCGTGAGAATATTGGGTGTTTAATTTTCCAAGTCTGGAGTTTAATGTCTATCAAATGAATTTCTGTGCAAAATTTGAGAGAATGAAATTGTAGGACATGCTGCTCTGTATATTAGATCAAAATACCAACAAAATCAAATACAAACTAATAGAGATTTTGGCCTTTTGAATCAATATGTAATATTTAATTCTCTAATTTAAAAAATTTACGTCTAAATTTCCCTTAAAAAATGCTGCAACCAAATTTCTTAACAATATATAGGGTATTGGAGTATTATTATAAGAAACGAATAACAGCTGGCACTTCTATAGTATTAAATTGCTAATATATGCATTTTTTTTTAAATAATATTTAGCCTCCTGATTTGTTTTGTATAAGAATCAAATATAGTTAAGAACCTAGGCTTTCTATCAGTATTGAAAAAATAGATAAAAAATTTATCCCCTGTATACAAACAGGAAAGAAAATATAAATGGGGAAATATTTTTTCCATAACTTTGTCAGTACATTAACCAAATGCTGAAAATGTTAATTTAAAATCAAATATTTAATAATAACATTAGAGGATCATTTATTAATACATTTTTGTTGTTAGGAAATCGTTTATGCATTTTTTTTTATATTTCATACTAATATGCAAGAATGATATAGAGTAAACAATTGCGACCCGACTTAAATAACATGGCAAAATTGTTGAACAAATTGCAGAAAAGTTTAGATATTGATAAATTCGAGGCAATATATATATCAGTCACTCTAGATTTCAACGAAGTTTAATAAATTAACACGTCCATCCTTCAATATTGACAGTACTAATAGCATAGTCAAGCATACTAAATAGTCTAGCATACACAAATGTACTGTTGGGCTTAAAAACGTAAAATTTTTGTATTACTGAATTATGCGAAAATGCAAACTTAAAAGTGCTAGTAAGCACAGTGATGGAGCCTGAAATCTGCATGTATTTGTTAGTGGACTTAATGGGGCCCGAAGCGTTCGTGAACAATTTAACACTTCAACTTTAATAAATAAGTGAGAACATCTATACATGAGTGCCACAGTACACTTGCATTTAGATTGACCAAACCACACACTAGAAAGTGAAGGGACGACGACGTTTCACCCCATCTTGGACCATTCTCAAGTCGATTGTGACAATCGACTTGAGAATGGTCCAGGACAGATCGAAACGTCGTCGTCCCTTCAATTTCTAGTGTGTGGTTTGGTCAACATATTTCAGCCACATTATTGTGACTCCTCGTCTGCACTTGCATTTACTGACATTCCTGGTTGATGACCTTCTTAAGGCGTGAAGCAGGGTGTGGTGGACAGGTGAGGAAGGTGTGGTGGTGGAGGGCGAGGTAGAGGGCGTGGAGGGTGTTGCGGAGACTGTGGTGGAGGAGCACCTCCCTCACTCCCGCCCTCCAGCCCACGGCCACCACCACCGTCTCCGGCAGCTTCCACAGTCCAGACATCTGCACCAACCTTTTTATTGGCAAATAATATTAAATCTTTACAAGACCCATATTTGTAAAGCAATAAATCAGTAACTACATTAAGTAAATGCCTGTAATACCTACATCATCATTTTGAAATATGTAACATGTTGTATAATACTTGTTAGTTACATCAATGAAATCATTGTGGTGGTCAGTGCTAACATTGTCAATGTTACCTATTAGATGGAATGGAATGCTACCAGAACAATTATGCTACCACACCGACGTCCCTCATGATTACACATGAGGTATTTACACAGACTACCACACCGACGTCCCTCACACTCACACATGAAGCATTTACACAGACGTATGGGCGTGAGCGACTGGTTCACCATTACTCCCTCCCCTTATCAGATACGGAAATGAATTCACATGAACAAATGCTCATCGGGGAAAACAAAAGCAGCCCAATTGTCATGAGTAACATCCAAGTAAAATAATGAATTGCAGATAGAATTGCTAATAAAGAAACTGGGTTAGAGGAATAATTGTCAGAAGTACAGCTGCACATGATTGCAATAACGGAAACGAAACTGACAAGCATTTTAGGAAATGCAATTTTCCAACTTGGGTATCAAGTAATAAGGTAAGATAGGTAGCACAAAAGGGGAGGGTGTGAAGGTCTGATGTTACAGCAACACTAGAGTTTAGAAAAACTACAAATAGCAGCAGGAACTGAAAACCAGCGTATATACTAAGAATAGTAAAAGTGGGAGGTATGAAGATAATGGTAACAGTGATTTATAATCCCTAGCAAACAATAGAAGGACTACGGAAGAAGGAAATACATCAATATTATCTAATTCACTGCTATTTATAAATGAAGTCTCAGTAATATTTATTTCATAAACTTGTTTACACTCCACAATTTTTAATGAATCAGTCAAAACAATTGAACCATTACAATGTCTGAAATGAACAAGCACTGCATTAGACTCTTGACCTGTCCTAATATGTTATTTGTGTTCTTTTGTTCTATGAACACGATATTTACCATTTTGGCCAACATAGAACTTATTACAATCTCTACAAAGAATTACATATGCACTCAACCATGCAACAACTGGGTTTGTTTTTATGAGTGCTTATATGATATCAATATTTATATATGTTACATTGATATTAAATGGTTTCAGTAGTTTTGGAATTTCTTTGAAGTTAACTTAAAATAACAGAATTCTTCTTTATTTTCAAAGTAAAGAGTTGTGTGAAATTTGGCTAGTTTTATCAATATATGACTTTGGGTATTTAAAAAATAAACCTTGACTATATATATGAAATAATTGCATCATACAAACTCAAGACTACATATCCTTACAGCTATCAGCAATATACAAGAAAATACAACTTATTTTACTCTTTGATAATGAGATGAGTAAAGATTAACATAATACATAATATCATTTGTTGTTTATCTATATAAATAAAAATGTAAATGTTCGTAGGTTCAAAATCACTAATCTCCGAAAGTCCTTCACCAATTGCTTTGAAATTTGCACACAATGTTCCATTCTCATCAGAGCGGATTTTTATATACATACTATATATATGTCACGTCTGTGACGAGAAAAAACATGCTCTATCGAAAAACTGATTTTCATGTGTTTTTCATAAGAAGGAAATCTTCGAAACCTCTTTACTGATGGCTTTGAAATTTTGATACAACGTTGCATTTGAATAGGCGAGTGTTTTCATATGCCTACTATATACATGTCTCACCTGTAACAGGATAAACAGCGCCATTTGTTGGACGTAAGAGCAACACATATTGTAATCTCCAAAAGTTCTTCACCGATTGCTATCAAATTTTGACACAACGTTCCATTAAGAGATGTTCGTGAAAACAGGTAAAAACATGCCTTTTTTGGAAAACTGCGCCATCTGTTGCACATGACAGCAACACATGCTATACTAACTATGTTACATTTCCATTTCAGTGTTTCTGTTTGCATTGATAAATTGAGTTTTCATTGATTTCGATTTATTTTAATTTTGATTTAATTATTTTGTGTGACATTGCGTTGGAATTGAGCTGTGTTCTTTATCTTAC